TTTATCCCAGGAATGCAAGGGTGGCTCAACATAAAATGATTTAATATAATATACCAAATTAATAGACGAAGGGGAAAAAGAAAACACATGATCATCTCAATAGTTACAGAAAAAGTATTTGACAAAATTTTATACACTTTAATACAAAAAACACTCAGCAAACCAGGAATAGAAGGGAACTTCTTTAACATGATAAAGAGCATGTATGAAAAATCCACAACTAAAGTCGTACTCAATGGTGAAAGACTGAAAGCTCTCCTTAAAAAAAGAACAAGATATGCCCGGCCGGGCGTGGCTCAGCGGTAGAGCATAGACCTAGGATCCAGGTGATGGGGGTTGGATTCCCTGTCCCCGGGCACATGCCCGGGTTGTGGGCTTGATCAATGAATGACTCTCTCATCATTGATGTTTCTGTCTCTCTTTCTCCCTCTCCTTTCTCTCTCTGAAATCAATAAAGATATATTTAAAAAAAATATAATAATAATAATAATAATAATAATAATAATAAAGAACAAGATAAGGACGGCTGCTTTCACCACTTCCATTCAACGTTGTACTGAAAGTCCTAGCCAGAGCAATTTGGCCAGAAAAATCAAAAAAAGGTGTCCAAATTGGAAAGGAAGAGTAGAATTAACTCTATTCAGAGATGACATGATTCTATATATAGACAATCTCTATACACAAAATACTATCAGAACTAGTAAACAAAGTCAGCACAATTGCCATGTCAACAAAAATCAGTTGTGTTTCTATACACTGGCAATGAATAATCCAAAAAAGAAATCATGAAAATAATTCCATTTACAATAGCATCCGAACAAATAAAATATCAAGAATAAATTTAGCAAAGGAGGTGAAAGATTTGTACACTGGAAACTACAAAACATTGCTGAAAGTAATTAAAGAGGAACTAAGTAAGTGAAAAGACACCCCATGTTCATGAATTAGAATACTTAACATTGTTAATACAGCAATCCTAAAGTGATCTACATATTCAATATAATCCTCATTAAAATTCTAATGGCTTTTTTTTTTTTTCTTCCAGAAATGGAAAAACAAAAACTGCAAGGAAGCCTAAATAACCTAAACAATATGGAAAAAGAAAAATAAAGTAGGATGACTCACATTTCCTGACTTCAAAACTTACTACAAGGCTACAGTAGTCAAAAGACTGTGTAGTACTGGCAAAAGAATAGAAATGTAGACAAATGAAATATAATTGAAAATACTGAAATAAATGCAAAAATCTATGTCAAATTTACAGAGGTGCCAAAACCATTTAGTAGAGAAAGAATAGTCTCTCAACAAATGGTACTGAAACACCTAAATAATCACATGTAAAAGAATGAAGTTGGATCTCTAACTCATGCCATAAACAAAAATTGACTCAATATGGGTCAATAACTTTAATTGAAGAGCTAAAAATATGAGATTCCTAGAAATAAAAATATGTTAATTTTTATAACCTCAGATTTGGCAATGAAGTCTTAGATCTGATACTAAAAGAGCAATAACAAAAAATAAATAAATTAGACTACATAAAAAATAAAAACTCTTGTGCATCAAAGATCATTATCAAGATTGTGAAAAGGCAATCTACAGAAGGGAAGAAAATAATTCACAAATCATATATCAAATATCTAGAATAAAAAACTCCTACAACTCAACAACAAACAAGCAACGCAATTAAAAAAGGAACAAAGGACTTCAATAGACATTTCTCCAAAGATAATATACAAGTGACCAACAAGCACACAAAAAGATATTCAACAGCATTGGTCATTAAAGAAATGCAAATCAAAACCAGTGTTGTTCAGTGGTTACAGAGTTGGTCAATGCTCCAAGGGGTCTAGGTTCGAAGATTCCCAGTCAAGGGCACGTATCTGGGTTGCAGGTTCAATCCCTGGCCCCATTTGTGGCGGGTGTGGGTGGCAACCAATAGATATGTCTCTCTCACATGGATGTTTCTCTCTCTCATGGATGTTTTTCTCTCTCTTTTTCTCTGTCTCCCCCCTCCCTCCCTCCCACTTTCTCTAAAAATCAGTGGAAAAAATATCCTCAGGTGAGGATTAACAAAAAAACAAACAAACAAAACTCACAATGAGATAACACTTTACACCCAGGATGGCTTTAATTTAAAGAAAGGAAATACAAGTACTGGCCATTTGGAGAAATAGGAACCCTTGTACATTGCTGGTGGGAATGCAAAATGACACAGCCACTATGGAAAAATTTAGAGGTTCCTCAAAACATTAAATATAGAATTACCATGTGACTTAAAATTCCACTCCTAGGGATATACCCAAGAGAAATAAAAAGATGTCCATACAGAAACTTGTACATTAATGTTTATAGCAGCGTTATTCACAATAGTCAAAGGTGGAAACCCACATATCCATCAATTAGTGAATGGTAAACAAATTGTGGTACATGTATCACATGCTTAGTGAAAAAAACCTGGACACAAAAGGACATATACAGTTGACTCGAACATGGGTTTGAACTGGGTGGGTTCACTTATGCAGATTTTTTTTCAATAAATACTATAAATGTATCTTATGATTTTCTTAGTAACATTTTTTTCTCTAGCTTACTTTAAGAACACAGTATATAATACATATAACATACAAAATATGTGTTAATTGACTGTGCTCTCAGTATGGTTTCTGGTCAACAGTAGGCTAAGTATTTGAAGAATCCAAAGTTGTATGTGGATTTTTGACTGTGAGGAGGGCTGGTTCCCCTAACCCCTGTGTTGTTCAAGAGTCCAATGTATTTCCAGGCTATTCACTATATAAACATCCTTATATAGTCCAGAAAACCACCAAACTGTACACTTCACAAATGGTTAATTGTATGTTACATAAAGTTCACCTCAATTAAAAAGGCCTTATGTAAAAACAATAGAGCTTGTTTTCTTAAATATATTTCAGGTACTAATTTTTTGCTTTTTCCTAATTTGTTCAGTAAAAGGTAGTTACTGAATAACTGACTTACTTCTTGAGCCCCCGCTACTCATTGTTTCCTTTCTTTTATCCCAAAGGCAGTCTTTCTTCTGATGCTCTAACATTAAAAGTAACCTCTACCCTTATAGAGATACGAGTTTCCATTGAATTTTTGTTTTGATATAGATAAGTAAAAAGATTTCTAGTGAATTCACGATTTTCAAACCCAATAGCAAAAAATTAAAATTTTATATGTAATTGATTTTTATATTGTAACTTCTTGAATTCTTCAGCTTTGATGAGGTTCTTACGTTCTCAATTTTTCATGTATTAAATTGCTCTAACAAGAACTTAATTTCTTTGGATAATCAATATCCAGAATTCTTATTGACTCTTTATCCAATTATATTTTATGCAAATAATTAGCTATATGAAACTAACATTGCTAGTCCAAGGTTATATTCATAAATAGACACTATAATGTAAATAATTTCAAACTTTTTTTCACAAGAATGGAGTGTGCTTTATAGGAAAAAGTAAGCCTAACAGTCAAGTTTTTATTAAAAAATTGCCTTGCCCTGGACAGTGTGGTTCAGTTGGTTGGGTGTTGTTCCGTACACCAAAAGGTTGCCAGTTCTATTCCCAGTCAGGGCACATGCCCAGATTGCAGGCTCCATCCCTGGTGGGGGCATGCAGGAGGCAACCAATCGATGCTTTACACTCACATGGATGTTTCCCTCCCTCTCCCTGCCTCTTTCTAAAAAATAAAAGTCTCTGTAGGTTGAGGTTAACAATATAAAATTTGGAAGTAATGTTTTATTCAAATAAACCAACATATCTTGTTGCTATGTCGTTCATTTTCATATGGCTTAGAAAAAAGTTCTCAGAGATTTCTGTAATGCCTCTGATCACCAATAGAGAAATAAGTAAATACTCAAATGGTCATAGCAAAAATAAAGACCAGTTGCTTTGTTGTTCACCATGTTTTCTAGCTGTTAATACATTGAGAGCACTTAAAAATATAGACTCACCTTCTAATGAACCAGTACTTTAAATTTAGCTACATCAGCGGTTCTTAACCAGGTCTGACTTTGCCCCCCAAGGAATGTTTGGCAATGTTGACAGATATTTTTGGTTGTGACATCTTCAGAGTGCTACTGGCACTAGTGTGTGGACTCCAATGATGCTGCTAAATCTATAACACACAGGACAGCCTCTCACAGTAAGGAATTATCAGACCCAAATGTTAACTTTGAGAATCCCTGAGCTACATTACTGGTCTCATCCATTTCCAGCCTAAAATCTACATCACAATCTCAGAAGCTGTTTTGTTTTAATGTACAAGATGTACGCTTGATTTGTAATTATAAGAACTTGGGAGAGCAACACAATTTCAGGAAAAACAGAGGTTAAAAATATTCACTAGAAAACTGAAAGTGAAATATAAAATGAAGTAAAATAAAAATCTAGTCACAGCTATATATGACCAAAATTTAGAGATCTCGTTAAACTTTTAATTTGCAATGTAAACAATAGAGGACATGACTGAAAATTAAGGTGTATTGCAGAGGTTCTTTCTGTATTCATGCCATATGAATACCTTTTCTGTAAGACAAAATTTAAAGAAATAGCTACAACTGTGTTCTTATGTGAACTTTCAGCACTGTGCTTACCTTTGCTGGCATATTAAGACTACTTTGGAAGGAGACAGGTATTAAACTATTTTTTCTTACTGATATTTCATCAAGAAATAATAAAAAAGGAAATAAAAAAGTTTGCATCCCAGTGGAACTCTATTTTTTAAACTTGTTAACACTAAAAATCACTTCAAAAAATAATGTTATTTAGGATATCCTTAATGCCAAATCAGATTGTCCCAGAAAAAGCGTATGTACTACATTTGTTACTTCTCCTTAATCTGTTAATTTCTTGGAATTAAAAAAAGGGGGAGCAGACGGTAACAAAATGATCTTTATATTAAAATTTCAATTAATACAGGTCCCTGAAAGTCAGTTTAAAATAAAAATCAAGTTTCACAAAATAAATACACTGAAGCAACTATAATAATAACCTTTATTGTTAATCTTGGAAAGCTCATTTTACATGAGTTTCCAGCTAATTATTAGAGTCAGAAACAGAGAAAATAAAACCAGAGAAAATCCTCTGTAGAAAAAATACACAGGAACATTTATTTCTACATGTGAAAAGCAGTAAACAGTCTTAACATCTGAATATCCAAGTCTTAGTCTCAATTCCATCTCTCCTAGTGAACACCACTATCAACCTTGAGATCTGATTTGTTCTTGTCATTCTTCACTGAGTAGATGAAATATGTTAAGGTGTCTTTTTCATTCACTGGAATAGACCTAAAGTGGCAACCAACTATCTATAAAGAAAAAAAAAATTGAGGAAATTAAATTATAGGTATTATCAGATTTCATAAACTAGGTCAAAAACACTTTCATCAAAAGAAAAAGTGCTATGGGATAGTAAGAGCTATTTCCTTTTAAAAATAAATTGTATTCAACAAAATACAAACAGGGCAAAAAGTGTATAAGAATAAGATGTTATGAACAAGAGACAGTGATTTCAAAGGACCCTTCAGCCCACTCAATTAAATATATATTTATTAGAATGTGTATTTCCTTTTATTTATTTTAAATTTTATAACTGGAATCTAGGTTAGGAAGTAATATTTTTAGTTTTAAACTTTAAATATCAATGAAATAAAACAGAACGTAAGAGTCCATATGCACCATATAATAGTTTAGGTCCTACTCATAGAAAAAGAATAAATATAAAGTTGAAAGTTTAGTACTTTAAGAACAAACCAGGAAATATCTTACAAATACATTTGCTACAACTTATATTCATTCATTCATTGGCAATATTCTTTAAGGTTTCTTGAAAATTTTCTGAATAAAAATTATAAATGGAAAAGAGGGATGTGTTCACTGAAGAATGTTTACAAGCTTTCTTGCTTTTTCACTAATCTAACATGTGCACTGCAACTACCAACAGAAGTACAGTTAACTAAACTGGGATGCTCAAAGGCATATCCAGATTCTAGAAGATAAAATTTTTTAAAGAAAAGTTATCCAAATGAAAATTAAGACTTAAGGAGGATCGTTATCACTGGAATCACTTATAAATATCTATTTCTGACTAAATAAACTATCACACCATAGCTCTTTGTTTATTTTTTTATTTCAGAGAGAGGAAGGGGAAGAGAGAGAGAGGAAGAGGAAGAGAGAGAGATTGAATTGTTGTTTCACTTATTTATAACATTCACTGGTTGATTCTTATATGTGCCCTGACTGGAAATCGAGCCAGCAACCTTGGTGTACCGGGACTATGCTCTAACAAACTGAGCTACCTGGCCAGGGCTACATTCATGGCTATTTGGATTATGGCTATTTCTCATTTCTAAAAATTAAAAAAAATTAAAAATAGCTCTAGAAATAAAGTAATTTTTTAGATGAGATTATCAAAAACTTCAGTTTGGTTTATGCATTGAAAGGATACATACATTTAAATGTAACATTTAAAGTAATCATTTCTTTGGTTCTCATTTGTCCAAAAACAAAATACTTCTACTTGATTAGTATCTGTATATTTTGATATTTCATCATGGCAGACAATATCTATATTTATGTTATAGCAATGTGCTATACAATCCAAAAAGAATAGATATTTCAATCAGATTTAAAGACAAATTGAATTTTTGTTGCCTAGGCAAGATGACAGTGTTAAAAAGCATTCTCTTCTGCCAAAGAATTGTACCTTCTATTCATCTTTTAGCTTATTCAATATGCACTTTTTAGAAATGTTGAATTACTAAATTCAAGATAAAGAATATGAGGAAAGTGATTTACATATTTACATGTCTATTCTGCCTAGTAGGTTAATCATTTTTATTTTATATATGATTAAAGTAAAAATATATAAATCAATAAATATCTTAATATCATGCACAGATTTCTTGGCTGTATTTTTCCTGAGAACACACACATACAAACAGACACACATGCTCAACTTTTCAAAATTCACTAAAGAACTAGAAGTCCTGTATCAAAACAAACTAAGTAAAAGCTTGGACATAGTCTTTGCATCTTTGAGATGTGAAGAAAACATGGATGCCTAGCCCTGGCCGGTGTGGCTCAGCTGGTGGAATGTGGTCCTATGCACTGAAAGGCTGCCAGTTTAATACCCTGTCAGGGTACATACCCAGGTTATGGGTTCAATCCTTAGTCAGGGTGTGTATGGGAGGCAAGCAATCTGTTTCCAATCTGTTTTTCTCTCTCTCTCTCCCTCTCCCTTCCCTTCTCTATTAAAAAAGAAAAAAAAGAAAACATGGATGCCTAAAATAAAACAAACTAACATCAAAGGACAAATTCTGAAATGGTTAAATTAGAAAGTTATGGCAATACTCTTTTTGTAAACCTATTTCATCAAAACTTTTTAAAAATTCTAATAAAGACATCAAAGCTTATTAATTTATTATTTCTCAATTAGATGTTCAATAAATATTTACTGAGTAAATGGGATTTTAAAATAAATTTCTAGAATGAGAATAAAAAATTCTCACTCAATATTTCTGAAACCCAGTATTAGAAGATGCTTAGAAAACTATATACAATTCATTGAGTAGTCATTACATAAAGAATTTCCTAAGAGGCAGACAAACATTTCTAGGTAACTAGATTCTTTCACAATAGATTTTTAAAAATTAACTTTGATCTTTTTAACTAAAATATACTGTTTTATACACTCCGTTAACAATTTCATTAGCATTGAATGACTCCTTTTTTGTATGGACAGATGCCTTTAAAGTTTTAAATAGTTTAAAACTCATAAATACCTCAACAAGTTGTGCTTTATTAAGTCCTGGTCTGGTTGGTAGTTTGAAGTGTCTTTTGTATCTCCTAAGTGTATTTACTTGTAATTGGTATAAATCAACCTAGAAAAAAATTTAAATATATGAATTAGTTTAAGCAATTTGTTAAAAACTTATTCTTGATATGTATAACATTTCAATCACAGCACAATAAAAATTTCATTCTATTATTTAAAAAGCCTTTTATAGAATCAAAACTATAAATGTAATAAACAATTTAATCATTTGAGGATAAATATAAAAAACTGTTTGGGGGGAAAAGTTGTAAGACAAGAGAACTATAAGAATTGTCAACTGAAAATATAACAAGTCAAATTGTGTAACTGTGCGTTAACTGGCTATATTTAATTTTGCTTTCATTTTCAGATTTTTCAAATGTTCTAAGTATTTTTAAAATGTGTTCATATCGTCTTATAAAAGTTTCAGAATGGACTACTTAGGATTTACATTTAACATGAAAAAACTTTCCTCTACCTCTGGAGTATCAATATCTTGAACGGGTGAATCTCCTCCATCATCATCACTCCCTTTTCTCTTTCTTCTGTTTCGAACACTCTGGATTAAGTTTTTATGATAATCGCAAATGTAAAGATGCCTTACCTGAAACAGAAAAGTTTCACAGACTACTTAGGATTACAGTAAAATGTATCTATGTATTAGTAAAATACATAGGCCACAGTGAATCATTAAAAAACAACAGTCAAAACAGGGCATTGTTAAGGCAAGGGCATGCTTTTTTCTAAACTCCTGTACACAGTTAAAACATACTGTGTCTGGCAATACTGTTAAGAGGCTTGGGAAGTGGGATGCGGAGGGGTGGCTGTAAGGGAGGGGAGGGAGGAGGAGAAGGAGAAAGAGGAATTTCAGCCCTCTAGATTTTGTCATCAAATTGCAGTGGGGATAAACTAGATGAGTTAGGTCATGCTGTATTGCTAACAAGGGAAATGATGATGTTGCCCACACTTAAAGAGCATATGGTAGTAGCATACTATATGCTTCCTAATCTTTCTTTCTAATTTAATACTCAAATAATAGATACAAAACTATTCATTTTTACAAATGAGCTATTGATTTCCATATTCTNATTATAATCCAGATACAAAACTATTCATTTTTACAAATGAGCTATTGATTTCCATATTCTACCTATATTTAAATTTGAAATTATAAACATTTCTGAGTATTAAATGTATTTATCTGTAATACATTTTCCGCAACCAAAGCAATGTGAAATTATTCAGGTGTACCTAAGTTTCTCATGAACATGACTGAAGAACTGTTTAAACAAGCAGAAAGCATCACAAACTTTCCAAAATGTTAATTACATATAGTCTTGAGAGCTGTATAGTAACATTTGAAATACCGGGCTTCATACAGTAACAGTTATTTCTTCAAAAACAACAGCAACAAATAATTAAGGACTGAGCTAAGAGGCTTTTAAATTAACTTTTAAGCTAAGTGCAAGTTAAAAATAAGCAGGACGTGTGCTAGATTCTGACATCTTGTTATTAATTTACCGCCTGCCAGAACTCCGGAAAGCGGCAGAGGTTGTTTCTAAAAGTCTCATAGATGGTCAAAAGGACAAACGTGCAAATAGGACGGAAAAAGAAATCCTGATGGCTGCCAAACGGATGGCAAAGCCGCGGAGACGACGTGCTCCCCACGTTCGGAACAGCTGCCCTCGATGCTGACACCACCACCACGGTTCACAGCCCCGGCCCCCTGCTAGGCGCGGGGGGAGCTCGGCTCCCCTCTCGCTGGTACGCAGGGGAACGAGGAACGAGATATCTCTGGACTGCGGCTGCAGGTCCCTGCAGGATTCCACTTTCCACCAGACCCGGGAAGCTACTCCCTGGGGCCAAACGTCAGCCTGGGCACCAAAACAAAGGCGCCTCCATTCCAGAAGGAGCTGCCGGGCTACAAGAAAACTAGTCCAGGCCCTCCCTCCGAGCGCTTGTTCCCTTTGTTTCGTTTCCAGATCTCAGCCAAGGGGGAAGGGAGAAGACGAGGAGCGGGAAAGACGCC